GAATTGGATGATGAAGTATGTGTAGAATCCAACGATGAGAAGGGGGCGGATAATGTAGTGAACTTGGAAGACGATAACGATAATTTGGCAAGAGATGTTATGATAGTGCCTAAGGTGGGTATGCAGTTCAACAATGAAACAGATTTGTTCGAATTTTATAAAAGATACGCGTACGAAGTTGGTTTTCCGGTTAAGAAAAGAAATTCAAAAAAGGGTGAGGATGGATTAGTGAGATATATTACATTGACATAGCGTAAGTTTTACTTTGATGCAATCTTAATCGTTTTCCTATGAAAATTATATTTTGAATTGATTCTTAATGCAGCCATTCCACCAAAGTGCTGTACCAGGTTCGATGTCAAGTACCACACATTCCATTCCACGTACTACTATTGTATTTGGTTGTCCGCTCACATTCATATTCCAACTTCTGGAATGACTTATCAAGCAGCTGGTATTGAAATGGACCGTCAACTGGATGGTTCTTCAATAAGACCATTTTTCAATCCTATCAATGAACATCAATGAGCATGTGTATTTAGTAATGAAAAAAACATAATGTTTGTACTAATTTGCAGTTATTTCAGATTGTAATGACTTGTTGATGCTACTTATTCCAGTATATTATTTTATCACGCTTCATTTATCATTTTTGTAAGAATGTGTTGTGCTTGCTGAAGTTGTGAAGGGACAAATGTGGAATGTTCAATTTGTGCTTGAAACTATGTTGCATGTTTATTTATCCCGATAGCAAATTCCACAATGGTTCAGAACACATGATCCTGCACCTGTTGCAAAATCCTCAATGAGAATAACCGTTTACCAATGAGAATAACCGTTTACCACGACTATATTTTAGTTGGAGGTGATTAGTGTTTTCATATTACTTGTCAAATGAAAGCTGAAGCGAAAACACTAATTATATATTTCTGTTTTGGCCTATATAAAATTAGTAACTATTTTCAATCTGATAAATGAGGAAACATCACATTGGCTACATTACACTGTCAAAAAAAGTTAAATACTTTTCGTCGAAATGAACCAATACGAGGTGGTTCAAACTTCATTTTCACAAACTACAAATTAACATTAACATGTCAAAACGGTCACCAAATACAATAGTAAGTACCATTCTAATACATCGAATTTTAGATAAAAGCATCCATAACTCTTTTCCCCCTTACACATCTTTATGTTGAAGGAAATCTCCAAGTCTTTCTCATCCGTGAGCTTGGCAAGAGTTTTCAACATACCCGACAAATCATCGACCGGCTCACCTCTGTTTGTAATGCCACTAGATTCACCGTGATCATGAAATGGACATTTTTCATCGGGATCATTTTTACACCATTTAAAGAACTTGCAGTCGCGGGTACAGCAATGAAACAGTAGCCCTTTATGTTCATTTTTCTTTTCGACCTCCATCCATTNAAGGCTGTAAGAGTAGCATTATCCTATGTACAAATGGATTTGCTGAAATGAAAAATAGAGGACAGCAGGTGGCCACCAACCTTACTTCTTGTGACTAAAAGATAAGCATCCATAATCATCGTACAATTGCGACCATTCATTTCAATGGTTGAGATTCTCCTTTGTCATATTTTAATATTATGATAGGGCAGTTCAAGTCAGAATTCGTCAATTAATATTATTGTTGATTAAGGTAATTGTAGTAATTATTTCTAATAGCACTAGTGGTGGGCTCCAAAAATTAAATTAAATTTATTTAATTACATTGTCACTCTTGTCTAGCATAAGTTTAGTAATATTATTTCTCGCTAGTTTAACCCATCATGGCGTAATTATTTAACTTGAACAAACCATCGTAATGATAATTAATTTTTTGTTTTCAAAATTTCTTATTACTTCGATCTCAATCTTCTTTGGCTCAATGCTGTAAGTTAAAACTATGAAATCGTTAAACTGAATCAAAATTGCATTTTGAAGCCGTTGGTTTCGTGTCAATGATGTGATTTTGCGTCAAGTTTTTTACGTAAAGGGGAATAAATATTGGAGGGCAAAAATATATATTTAGGGCATGTTTGTTTTTTATTCTCAAATTCTACAGTAAATCAATTCTCATTTTCAACCACACATTCTTCAATAAAATAATATTTTCCATCGCATCAATAATTTTTTCTTCTTTTTCAAGCACACATTTCCCATCATATCACTATTCAAAATCAATTCTTCCCCCAAAAATCTCTCACAAACAAGCTCTAAGCTACTAAGTGCTAATCCCAATTTAATAAAGCCACGAGTACAGGAACGTTTAGCTGAATGTGTACCAAT